CAGAAAGAGACAAAATTTAACAGCTAAACTCAACAATTATAAAAAGAGAGAGAGAGAGAGTGAATTAGAAGCAAGTGTGTTTGTTGCTCCCAGGCTCCAGTGAAATCCTGACATAGTACTGAATGTACAGATTTTCCAGCTGACATGGGTCAACACATGAATACAAGCACAGTTTAAAGTGGTATCAAAATTAATCCATTTCACAGTAATCATGTCTATAAGCTGAGTTGCACAGATCAGGGTTTCCATTGTCACAAATTCACAATCACAGAGTGAAATAGCAGGTGTGTTCAGGCCTGGGAAAGTGGCATCCGGAAGGAGAGACAGATCGGGAGGCAAAAGCAGCTGTGGGATTTGTTCCAATCTTGAATATCTGTGTTAATGCTCAGGCTGGGGGCGGGAGAAGGGCAGGCACTGTTCAACGGTCAGATGTCTCAGTACAGTGGAACAACTGTTGAGGCAATGAGTCCGAGGGGGTGTGCTATTTGGATATCTTTGTCAGAAAAATTCCTGCTAGAGAGAGACTCACTGCCCACAGCCTGTGAAAGGAAAAGCTCCGTATGTTTAGTATTTGGGGGCAAATGATGGGAGTGGCCAGCCTGTTAGTGAAACATCTGCTTTACAGAATATTCAGCAGGATACACAGTTACATTACTTTACATTGCAAGCTAGTTCACAAACTATGTTATTCATAAGGTAAATAAAGGAGGAGAATGAAAAGCTGCAGCACCCAACATTCCCACAATGGAGAGAGACCAAGAGATCATCCTATGTGGAAAGAGCCTCACACACAAGAATCACTGAACCCCAAAGCTGAAGGCACGGTGAAGGGATCCCTGATATCCTGAGCTTTTTATTTGAAAAATGTGCTCATTTTAACTAGATCCGTCTTACATATATGACCCTGAAAATTGACTAAAGGGAAGAATATTTCAAAAATTTCTACAGTGCAGGAATCACAGATACCATGAATTATCTTAACTTGTGATTTTCTATAAATTCTGAATTAGTGGGCTTCAAATTAATAGGCTTTTACCATAGTTGCAGGCAGTCTGATTACAGTACTTTGAAATTAGCTAATTATACTGATTAGTATGAACAGAGTTCAGTGGGGAGAATGTGCTTGTTTCTGAATCACACACTGAAAAGGTTTACTGCCCAGCTCTCCCTCTCAGCCTTGAACATGAGAGCAAAACAGCACACAGGCACACTCCTCAAAACACAGAGCATAGGTGAATAAGAGAGCCTCTCTCTCTCCCTGTCCCCTCCTCCCGTCCCTCCAGACAAAAGAACAATCTAGAAGCAGTGTTGTTTTTTCCTTCTTCTCACGGGATGCCATTTTCTTGTCAAAAGATTAACCCGCAGCCAGAGAAGAACCATCTGGCTCCAACTCCTTAACAAAAAGACACTTTCCTGTCTTGAATTCCTCATATTCAGGCTACTAGAAAGACAACATCCAACCTTTGGGCAAATTCCTGTTTTCCCAAGCACCCTAAGGAATTCACACTAATGGCAGTGGGAATCACCAGCACAAAAGGAGGTCACTGGCCTCCAAGTCAGCCTGCTGGGTGTTACTGGGCACCTGTGCACCTCACACTTTCCCTTGTGCTTTCATTTTGAAAACCCCAGGTGATGGGGAGCAGCGCTGGAGGGACATGTTTGTGATTCTTGTTTTAAAAAGTCTTAAAAAGTTTTTGTTTGAAAACAAGCGACAGTCATATTTCAAGGAATTTTTTAAGCCTTTTCTCTTTTTTCTTAATGAAAAATATCTAAATAACTAGCCCCACCATTCTGAAAGTCAAGAGTCACATATTTTTTCACACAAAAAAATAAAATTAAAAAATAAAATGGTCCAGGAGTGCTTGGATCTTCTTCATCTGTTGATAACAACAGAATAGGAGCCGAGGCAGAGGACACTGTGCCAAAAGGACATGTGAGACAGGGTCCCACAGGACAGAGGCCCATAGGATGGAGCTGCTTAGTCTTCTCACAAAACTTTTTATGAAGTGGGGACAGAAGGTGGTGACTTTGCGGGGCTTGGACAGCTAATACCAGCTCTCCTCCCTCAGGGCCCTGTCAAAAGGCTGTCCAGCCCCAGGAGGTGACATTCCTCCCTTCAGACCGGAACCCTCCTGGTACAAATATAGCCACACACCAGCTATTGTTTCAGATAAGCATATGAGAAAAGGCAACGTGCACACGTGTGCAGGCAGGCACACACACACACACACACACATCCAAAAACAACAAAAATGTGGCTACTACAGATTTAGCATTGTATCAAACCAACGTCCATACAAAGACAGAGTTTGAGAAGATATATACAGGGCATTCGTAAAAGCCAAATGTGCACCGCGAGGAGTTATGACCATTGTATACTGTACAGTCTTTTTTCTACAGTGTACCGCAAAAAAACAAAAACAAAAACAAAAACAAAAACAAAAACAAAAACAAAAAACATCCCAGAGACCACGGTGGCAAGCCCACCTGGAAGAATGCTGCCAAGCACCTGAACAGAACACAGGACCCTAGGAGCTGCCTGTGAGCTCTCCCTGTAGGCCCTCACTCAGCGTCTGAAGGACATAACACATGCTGTCCTCCACCAGGCCAGGTTCCTGCTTCCTGCTCCCTCCCATCTCCACCCAGCTTGGCAGGGAAGGGCTCAACAGATGCCAAAGGCAGCAGGCATTCTTTGACATACTCTCTTTGGCTCTGGTCAGTGGGGCCAATGCTTGGCTCTCTTCTCAGTGGGGAGGAGATACATAGGGGTAAGTGACTCCTCCCATGCTCCCAGGTCACACGCAGGCACCTGCCTGAGGAAGTATTGGGAAAGCTGGGCTGGCCCCTGAGCTTCAGGCTGCCCCAGGTCCTCCAACATGACCAAACACGACTGACCATGGCCTCCATCGTGGTAAAGCAGGGCCTTTGTAGGCCAAAAATACATTTGTGAGGAAGGGTAGGACTGCAGTGTTAGAGGCCCAGAGGGAGGAAAAGAGGAAGAAAGGAAAGCTGGAATGCCACCAGGTCAGCACCTCGGGCATCAGGGAGCTCTCAGAGAAGGACGGGACAGAAAGTGTCAACTGGCAGGAGACCAAATGTCCAGGTTGAGACTCAACATCACAGTCACACGAAGGCCTCCACTAAGACTGGTCCCCTATAAGCTACACATTTCTAGAAGAATCTTCCTAAGGGAAAACTGCACTGGCTCCCTGGTGCTTTAAGAACTGCACAGGCATTAGCTCAGTCAGCCTCAAATACGCCTGGGAGGTAGGGGGAGGGATAGAAAACCCCAGCCACCGAGTCAAGTTGTCCAAGCTGGTGGACTCATTGGGATAAGAACAGAAGCCTCCTAACTTGAAGCATGTCCCTGGGCAAGTCTTCAGGACTGGAGGGGCCTCCAGAAGTCATCTGTAGCCTCAAGGCAGGGCTTCATTCAGAGAATGAAGCCTGATGCCTGCCTCAGAGAGCTGTTTTGACAGAAAGAAGCTTGTCTTCTCAGTGTGTTTGAAACTGCTGTGGTTGCCAATAGACCCTGGCTTTGCACTCTTTTGGGCCCCACAAAAATTTGCTACATTTTTTAAAGCACCACAGACAAAAAATGATTTGGCACGGAGGCCAGGAAGATGGACATGCAAGGGTGGGGGAGGCGGTGTCGAGAGTCTTTCGCATGGTCACAGACAGTTAAAGGCTGGGTCACTTCTGCCCCCCTACTGTCCAAAGCCTCACTGAAATGCACAGGTAGCCTCTGGGCCACAGAAAGGGGTTATTAAAAATGCCAGCACCTGGCAACACCCTGGATGGGCCTTTGACCCCAGGTCACAGGCTTCCCCATCTCCCTTGTCAAGAAATTTCTAAAAAGGGACACTTCAGGATCTTTTCCCCAGGTGGGCACCATTATTAAGGAGAAATCAATCATCTGAAGTTCAAGTTCAACTCATTGCACCTACTTGTGAAAAGGGAAAAACCCTAAAAGTTCAAAGCCAGAAAGCACAGTGCTGAGGAGGCCAAGTTCATGGGTTTAAGCATCCCATGGGCCAATCAACCTCATTAGGAGAAAACTTCAGCTCTCTGCTCCAGCCTGTAGCCCCAACCACACAGAGGCCATGGGCTTCCCAGGCAGGGTCACCAGCATTAGTTTTTCCAGGGCTATAATTGGGCTCATGCCAGTGGGTAGCAGTTTTAGCACAGCCAGTACACATCTGGAAAGCCAAGGTCTTCAGGAGGCCAAGCACACTAGAAGCAGAGCTAGCCCCCAGGATGGCAAAGTTCATGTGGGCCTCGTGTTCAATCTGGCAGCCGGGCCCCTGCCTCTCATCCTTCACACACCCTGCCCTCCTTCCAGCTTGCTCTAGATATTCCTTTTAATCTGGAGTCGGGGCAGATGTTGGGGCAGGGGAGTATCACAGAGCTGACTTCCCCCAGTCACCTATAAATGGCCCGTTATATTGTTTTGTTTTATTGTGTTGGTCATTTATTTGTTATTACTGTTTTTGTTTTTTGTTCAGTCCTGTCCCTGTCCTCAAAATGTAAGCAAGGACAGAAAGCACAGGACTGTTGAGGAAAGGGTGTTGCTGAAGGGCTAGCTTCTCTCCCTCATCTCTGTGGCCTAGGCATCCAAACACAGACAGGTCTCCAGCCAGCTGCACAGCCCCAGGGCCTGAGCCTATGGACATTCTGGCCACAATCAACTCAATGGTGTAATACCTTTGGCATAAGAGAAGCCAGTTCCTGATGAGAAGACAGCATGGCAGGAGCATGGGAGCTTCTGGAAGAGCTGGACTCTCTGGCCTGTAGCTCTCCCCAGGGGCTTTGACGCAGGTGTGTTCCCTACCCCCCTCCACCTGTCTCTGACAACTGACTTCCTACAAATCCACGGTTAGGAAATTATTTGGCAACAAGGAGGCTAAGGCTGTTTTGTGGTGGCACAGTCTTTAAGAAGTTAAAAATAAAATAAGAGACCCCTGAAAGAGGCTTTCATACTGGACAGGACATGAGTCCTACTACTTGTCTAAGCCAGGGTTGGTGGCCACTATCTCCTCATACTTTGGGGGTGGGTCACTGTAAGAGACACTTGCCTCCTCACTGCTGCTCTCCTGGGGTGCAGTTACCTCCTCGTAGGATGGGGGAGGGGTGGCACTGGACAGCCTGGAGAGAGAGAGCTCAGGGAAGTAGAGGGTGCTCTCAAGGCGGACCGTGGTTCTGCCCCCTCGACTAGGCCCCAGCACCACCTGAGGATTGCTCCCTGCCTCACGGTGTGCAGAGGACTCCCCCTGGCTATGCACAGTGCCCCGATACACCATGACCCGGGGGAGGCTGTGCCCTGCGCGACTGGCTAGGTACCGGTTCTGAGCATACGAGGGGTGATGTCGTGTGGCTTTCTGCAGCTGGCACCTCCAGATGATGAACAAGGCAATGACAATCAGCAACGCCACCCCCAGAAGGGGAACGACCACATACATGGCATCTGGGCTTTGTGTAGGGTCTCGAACTGAGTAGACTGCATTCGGGTACCCCTTCCAGAACTCCATCTACAAAAGAAAAATGGCCACTTACATTTATATGCAAGAGCTCATGCCCCAGCTGGACCTCAGAGACCTTCAGCAAGTCTGGTGTGTTTGGCAGGGCCTGCAGCTGCTCCCCACCCTACTGCATCTGACTGGCTTCTGAGGCCTATCAGAGAGGCTATGTAATGCACCCAGGATAAAGGACAATGCTCCCAAGTGAAGACGTCCCCATAATCAGGCAGCTGGGACTCTGAAGACATGTTGTCTGTCCTTCTATGGCCCCAGTGGCCCTGCCTTAGACTGGACTGGCTTTCCTTTATTGCTTCTGACTGGTGTGAGATACCAGGGCCTGCTTTTGTTATTCCTGAGGCTCCCCCTGCTCCCAGAAGCTACCCCAGAACAGTACATGCCGTTTTCTCTTTGTCCTCAAACACCTCCTTGACCTCCTCGTAGCTGCAGACCTCCTCCATGCACTCTCGCTCGATGGTACCCTGGCGCAGCTCCTCCAGGAATTCATTGGCACGAGGGAACCGTTTCAGGACAGAATGGGCATTCTTGGCCTCCAGAAACACTGAAGAGAGAGCTGCACTGAAGCCTGGAATAGGGAGGCACCCAGGGGCTCCTTCAAACCAGACTCAGCCCAGACACAGAAACACAGTGACAAAGGAAAGCAAGACACAACCAGTGGGCAAGACACCACCCCAGATATGACTAGCCCCTTGTAAAAGGGATGAAAGTGCCAACTTTCTGTGATGCCATGATGTATCTGCTTAGAATACCATGAACCCAGCAAGACTCAGGCCTCTGGTGTTATGGAGGAAAATGGGATCTGAGAGGGAGGTGCTTGTTGCACAAGAACAATGGACATGAAGGATTTTGAGTATTGTAGTCAACACAGAGAAAGTACCCAGTATCTTCTGCCTCACCTCAAAAAGAGAACATCAGAGCCCTTATCATGAGAATTGGCTCCCCTACAGACTGATGCTGGTGACCAATACCAAATCACCCCATAGCAGTCTACCAGGGTGGGGTCCATCCACATGAAAGGCCACCTGTGCCGTCATCAACAGCCTACCCCCAAACAGTCTACTACAAACCCAATCTGGGCTAGATCAAGGTACTGGATGGATATGAATCTAAGAGTGCCTCTGGAAAGAAGGTAGCAGGGAGAATATAAGTCTTTGTAGACTGGTCACAGATGCTTCCTGCAAAAATGTCATTGAGTGCTAGCCATATCGACCTATTCCAAAGGAAGGGACCCAGCTACAGTCAAACTACCTAGCATAGTATCAGCTATATGCCTCCGTAAGCCTGAGCTCGGTCTCCTGCCAACCAGCCCCTTGCAGTGAAGCAAGCAGGGCTTTACCAACAAGCAGGTGCCCTTTTCCATGGCCTGTCATAGTAGTTTCTCTCATAGTGGACAAGTGAGCACATACTCCAGAAGGGAACCAGAGTTGAGAGGACAAACCTGCTACCCAGACGATGAGACAGGGGCCACAGGGACACACTCAGGACGGGAAAGCTGGAAAGGACTTGAAAAGTAAGCATGCACCTTTCCTGCGAGCCCCTGGGTAGGCCCTTCACCCTCAGCCTGGCCCCTGGAAAACTCACCTGCCATCGCTGCTCCCTTAGATCCCGTGTCTCACTTGCCTGGCAAAGGAGAAAAGCAGAGTCACAATTAAATCACACCCCCAAAGCCTACAGCGCACCCGTTTGACCCTGAGATGTGGACCCTACCCCTGCTAGCCTGGTCAAAGGTCAAAGCAACACCTCATGAGGCACATTACCTCCTAGGCCACTCACAGCTCTATTACTTTCCATACTTCCCCAAGCTCTCTTTCCAGAGTTACCTGCCTGAGGCCCAGCAGAGCCCAAAGCTAACCTTTGGGCTCTTTCTCCCACAAACAGATTCTGAGGGTCTAGAAGACCTAAGGGTTGACTTCATTCTGAAAGAAAGAAAGAAAGAAAGAAAGAAAGAAAGAAAGAGAAAGAGATAAGAAAGAAAGAAAGAAAGAAAGAAAGAAAGAAAGAAAGAAAGAAAACTTCCCACAGGCCAAGTTTTTTCTTTCCTCACCTCTCTCAAAAAATCTTTGCGAAAAACTGAGAGCTTTTTCCCTGAGATCAGGAACACGACAGAG